GGCCGGCCCGTGGCTCACTTGGGAGAGTGCGGTGCTGATAACACCAAGGCCCCGGGTTCGGATCCCACATAGGGATGGCCGGTTCGCTCACTGGCTGAGCGTGGTGCTGACAACACCAAGTCAAGGGTTAAGATCCCCTTACCGGTCATCTTTTAAAAAAAAAAAAAAAAAAAAAAAAAGAGTTGCTTGAGCCCTTGAAAGTGAGTACATATACATTCGTTCTCCTTGGAAGCCATTTCCTAGTTTCAGTAACCTTCCTGCTGCAGTGAGACTCATTTTAACAACTCATCTGGCGTTCCCAGACACCATCACAGGAGGGCAGTGGCAGAAGAAAAGATAAAACTGTCCTAAGCTGAGACTGACGTGAGGTGCATGGTGGGGATGGCGCTGACGCGGGCCTGGAAGCACATGTCCTGGTTCTACGACCAGTACCTGCTCGTCACGGTGCTCTACATGCTGGAGCCCTGGGAGCGGACCGTGTTCAATTCCATGCTGGTTTCTGTTGTGGGGATGGCCCTGTACACAGGATGTGTCTTCATGGCCCAGCACATCATGGCGATATTGTACTACTTAGAAATTGTACCATGTGGGCCAGCCCGGTGGCGCACGCGCCGCCTGGGAGTGTGGTGGCGCTCCCGCCGAGGGTTCGGATCCCATGTGGAGACTGGTTCCCGCTCACTAGTTGAGTGCGGTGCGGGCGCAACACTAAGGGGTGCGATCCCGTTGCCAGTCCCCGTACGGGCGCAACACTGAAGGTTGCGATCCTGTTACTGGTCAGTAAAAAAAAAAAAAAGACAAAAAGGAAAAAAAAAAAAAGAAAAAGAAATTGTACCGTGTATGACCAAGATGGACCAGGATCGAGAGGTTCCTTGGGGAAGACCTACCCTACGAAGTTGGAATGAGACCTCATCAGATGTCATAGGAAACTCTACTAGATGTCAACGTAACTAACCTTATAAAGACTAACATTCATGAGTAGAACAGGAAAATCATCCTGACTCGTGTTATGTTCTTTATTTTTAATTATAGGAGGCTCTTGTATAGTTGTTTTTGTCTATTTTAACATTGTAGTCATTTGTACTTTGATATTAGTATTTTCTAAACCTTTGTGACTGTTTCAATATTACCCTGTAAAAACTTCTCTTAATGTAACTTTGAGTACATTTTAATTGCCTTCTATTTTTAAAACCCAAAGTCATTAGTTAGGCTTTACTGTTCTTGCTACTGTATGGCATATATATCTGCCTGGATATATTTCTACTCTTGACCAAAGTTTTGTAAGAAACAAAAGAAGATCGGGGCAGGGAGCTGGGGAGGGAGGATATTGTATTGAGAACTACTTACAAAAGACTTATCTGTATGCTTGAACTCAGGAGTAGTTTCAGCTATCTACACTCTAATAGCTTTTGCTTAAAACTATTTAAGTGTTTCTTAACGAAAAAGAAAAGATCTTGCTAAAGTTAAAATAAGAAACATTTCACCCTTTAAATATTTAATTCTTCTGTGAACTTACTTCCAGAAAACTTTAGTGATGATTCTTATGACAAAAGGTGGTTAAGTAGCATTATTATGTAATGCTTATATACCATAGAGTTGTTTTTTTTAAAAAGATGACCGGTAAGGGGATCTTAGCCCTTGATTTGGTGTTGTCAGCACCACGCTCACCCAGTGAGCTAACCGGCCATTCCTATATGGGATCCGAACCCGTGGCCTTGGTTTTATCAGCACCACACTCTCCGGAGCGAGCCACGGGGCAGGCCTACCATAGTTTTTAATAGAAGGTAAATCAGTTTCCTCTGAGGGCTACTATTAACAGTGTACTTTCATAAATTTAGTTTCATGGTTGTAATGGGTGCTGCAAATGTATTTGCACATTGCAATAAGATATGATGAGATGAACTGTTGTTAAAAACTACAGCAAAAAGTGTAAACTTAGTTAAAATCCTTTCACTCTTGTATTTTTTAAAAAAGATTTTTATTCCTTAAATGTAAAATTACTACCTAATTTTTGGATGTAAACTCATTAAATTCAAAGACAAAAAAACTGTCCTAAGCTGTTTAATTAGCCAGGAAGAGAACTGGGTTTTAGAAACTGGAAAACTCTGGCTAAGGCTTGCTCAGAACATTGTCTTAAAGCCAAAAAATATCACCAAGGTCCAGGTGGAGGCAGCTTTCTACCAGCCACAGACACTACCAAATCAGACAGGGCCTGTTTCTTCCGAGACCGCAGGCACTGGCAGCCAGGGTGGGTCACTTTCTCCACAGCAGCTTCGTTCCCCCAGACGGTGAGCTCATGCTTGGCACTGATGAATTCCATAAAACAAGGCATTTAACCCCATGCTTTGAGGCAGAAATGACTACATAACATACAGACACAAAATTATTTAAATCAAGCCAGGTTTAATAAGCTCTAAAGAAAATAAAAATTATGTACACAGTCATAATGTTAGAATCCACTTATGAGCAACACAGAAGACAGCAGCAGCAACGCTGAAAGTGTAAACTTCCCTGAAAGAGCCAAATTCCAGAAAACATTTTTGTTAGTAAAAATTCTGTGGCACCATGAGCGGAGCTGCCTAAAGCATGCTGTGAGATTCCCTCTGCCTTATATAACATTACTTTGAGTGTTTTCTGGTGTTTCTACAGAGTAACAAAATAGAAGAGGTATGCAGTGAAAAGTCTCCCTCCCACTTCTGGGCCTCCAGCCACTCTCGTTCCCTCCTGCCAGGGCCTTTTTCATGATTGGTTGGTTTCTTGTGTAACCGTTCTGCTATATTTTAGCTTTATATATACAGTTTTATATATATAGTTTTATATATACAGGCAAAACATAGATATATACCTTCCATCCTTCTTTATAGAAACAGCATGTTGTAACGCTGTTCTGTATTTTGCTTTCTTTGCACTCATTTAGAAATAGGACTTGGAAGATATATTTAAATAAAGCAAAATTATATGTTAGCCTTTGACCCAGCAATCCCACTTCTAAGAATCTATCAAAAAGGTACCATGGCAAAAATATGAATTGTTTTATGTAGGCTATTCACAGAATGAAATAATAAGCCAACAACCAATAAAAATGGTGACTGCTAGAGGGAAGGAAAAACAGGGGGGGAGGGACAAGAATGTAAGACCCCTCTGAATGTACCTTTTTAAAGAAACTATTTGGATCCCTGTACCGGCCAGTGCCAAAAAACAACCAAAAAACTAGTTTTAATTTTGGAAGCATGTAAGTATTTTACCTTTTTAAAAAATTTTACATATTTTTTTAAAGAAAACCATTCCTAAAAATTGAAAGCAAAATGAAGCAAAACTAACTATGTACAGATTTGGAGCAATAACTAGAGATTAACTATTTCAAATGACTTTAAAACACTAATAATTGCTAGAGCAGGGTTTCTCAACCTCAGCACTACTGACATTTTTAGCCAGATAATTCTTTATGGGGGTGTTGGGGAGGGGCAGTTGTCCTGTGCATCATGGGATGTTAGCAGCATCCAAGGTTCAGGTGAGCTTCCATAATTGGCAACACTTGGCACGTACTGTCACACAGCATTGCTGGGAGAATGAAGTGCTGTCCATGTGACATCACTGGGAAAGTGTTTTAAAATATACGTTTCAATATTATTCAGGTACGGTGAGGCCAACAGATCAGGAGATGACTGCCACTGACAAGAGAGCTACTAACTGCTGTTATAACATGAGATTTAGGTCAGGCAAAAGCAACTCTGATTAATGCAGAATTTTGGAGAGCCTGGCCTTCAGGTAGTGATGTTTTTGCTTTTCTTTCTTTCCTGCTTTCTAAAAGGATTTCTTACAGAAAAAAAATTGAGGATAACTTGTCATGACAAATATGTATTACTTCTGTAATTAAAAAAAAATTAAGAGCATATAGTCACACAAAAACTGTACTTGTATGTTCATAGCAGCACTTATTCACAATGCCTAAAAAGTAGAAACAACTCAAATGCCCAACTGATGATGGGATAAACAAAACATATATCCATACAACTGCATATATATGTATATATATTTTGGCAGCTGGCTGGTATGAGGATCTGAACCATTGACCTTGGTGTTATAACACCCTGCTCTAACATGCATATTATTTTTATTCCATAAAAAGGAATAAAGTACTGATTCATGCTATGACATGATGGATCTTGAAAACATTATGTTAAGTGATAGAAGCTAATCATAAAAGACCACTTATTGTATGATCTCATTTACATGAATGTTCAGAAAAGGCAAATCCACAGAGATTGAAAGTAGATTATTGGTTGCCCTAGGGCTGGGGCACTGAGGGAAAATGGTAAATGACTGCTAATAGGTACTGTACTGGGTTAAATAGCATCCCCACAATTTCATGCTCACCTGGAACCTCAGAATGTGACATTATTTGGAAATAGGGTCTTTGCAGATGTAGTCAGTTAAGATCACACTGGATTAGAACAGGCCCTAAATCCAACAGCTGGGTTCCTTATAAGGCCATGTGAAAACACGGAGAGACACACAAGGAAGAAGGCCGTGGGAAGAGGGAGGCAGAAATCAGTACCATAGCTATAAACCAAGGACTGCCGAGGATGCCAGCAGCCTTTGGAAGTTAAGGAAACCAAAGAAGGATTCCTCCCTAGAGCTTCTGGAGGGAGCATAAGCTCCACTGGCAACTTGGTTTTAGACTTCCAGCCTCTAGAACAGAGAGAGAATAAATTTCTGTTGTTTCAAGCCACCCAGCTTATAGACATCCCTAGGAAACTAATGCAGGAACAAAGTTTCTTCTTAGGGTGATGGAAATGTTCTAAATTTGGGCCGGCCTGTGGCTCACTCGGGAGAGTGCGGTGTTGATAACACCAAGGCCGCGAATTTGGATCCTATATAGGGATGGCCAGTTGGCTCACTGGCTTGACAACACCAAGCCAACGGTCGAGATCCCCTTACCAGTCACCTTTAAAAAAAAAGAAATGTTCTAAATTTGATGGTTGCACAGTCTGTGAACATACTAAAAACCACAAAATTGTATACTTTAAGTGGTTGAATTATACGGTACGTGAATTTTAATTTCAATAAAGCTATTATTTATTTAAAGCTATGAAAAATGCTGAAGAACCAACAAGTACATTGAGTAACCCCAACATGGAAAGTTTCCATTTTCAGCCAGTCATTCAAGGCATGAAGTAGTTGGGAGTTACATATTAGATGTTAGTTAAAACAAAACAAGTTGCAAGGTCTGTTGCTGATTTGCTGTAGGGACTTTTGGCCTTTTACACAGAACTCTTTCAGTTGGAAATAAGAAAACTGACTCAAACAGGCTTACTCAAAACAACAACAGGAATCTGTCTCACATAACTGAAGTCCAGAATGGGCACTGGCTTCAGGCATCCAAACAACATCACTAGAGCTTTGATTCCCTTGGCTGTTTCTTTCTTTGTTGCCTTCATTCTCAGCTGGCTGTATCTATGTGGTAGAAAAAGATGACCATCAGCAGTTCCAAGATTATGTGACTCTTACAGCTCTGGATCAAAAGAGAATCTTTCCTGATAGCTCTGAGAACAAGTTCAGGACTGTTCAGGGCTGGCTCACAGGCTCAGTCCTGGAGCCAGGGAGTAAGGTTAGCTTCAACCAAGTCTGATGGATTGAGCAGTATTACTGAAAAATGGAAAAAGAATGGCTCTCCAAAGGAAGAAAGGCTGGGAATACAAAGTATATGTTCACTATGCCAGATGAAGCTATAAAGCTTGCAGAGATTCAAACAACATTTCAGTTCAATAAATATTTGCTGGATCAATGCAGAAACACAAACAGAGCTGCTGCAGAGTATTTTTAAAGTGTCATGTTCCAAACTCTAATTTCATATTTTAGAGAGCGATAAAACACAAATGAAGTCAGATACCAAGGTCATTAGTGAGATGCCATTTTAGCAGAGAGCTACTTCAATCAAGTATAGATTGCTCTATGTTTCAGATTCCATCTATATTACACAAAAGAGATACAGGGCTCTGGCAGAAGGCTTTTTTCCTCCCCCTGATTTATCCATCAGAAAAGCTAAGTCTTGTCCAGCATGAAGGAAGAAGGAAGTTCAATGTGAAGGGTCCTGATACCAACAAGCATTTTGAAAACGTTTTTTTCTCATTTAAACTGGTGGTAGTCTGGCGGGTTTCTGATCCAGAATCCAAACGCCTGCTTCCGGAGTGTGCTCCAGGCTTCCTGGTAAGAAGACGCAGCCTCCTTGTACTCCTGGTAGGTCTCTGGCTTCTTCACCCTAATGCACACACACCAAACACACAGGTTTTTACTGAACAGTTCTCCCCTGGGGCCAACAAGACACCTGAGCAGGCCAACTGGACAGATATAAAATGACAGTCAGCAAAAAAGGATTTTTGTATGCTTTCCTAGAGCAACTCTGTCACCTTTGTACAGAATTCACTAGAAAACAACATGGACCAAAACCGGTAAGAATGAACAGAATGCTAGTTTTCTATGGTCCTGGTGGAATCAGATAAACAAGAATAACTGTCTACTTTTTTGGTGTAAAGTTTTCTAAGGGTCTATAATTTCCACCCGAGGATCTAGCCATTAGGAACTTCTCGGCTGCATTTTTCCTAACAAAGAACTTCCCATTTTATCCATATTCTCCTCCTCCATACTGCCAGCCAATCCCCCTTCCCAAATCCCTCAGCCATCTCTGGCTGCCCAGGAATGTCTGTAATACTTACACCCAGTTAAAAGATTTTCTTCTGACAAAGACTCTTCTTTGCCCACACTTGAGTCAGGCTCCTCTGAGTCCTCTTTTTGATTAGGCCCTGGCCTTGGGCTCTAGCACTGGTTTGCTTAGTCCAGTTTTAGCAAGAACACAAAAGGGAGATTTTATAACCACAGCTGTCCTTCCTCTCACTCAAATACGACCCACGGAAGTCCCCCTTGTTCACCCGTGACAAGGCCAGACACAGACCCTCCAAATTTCCATTCTTCGTCTCACAGTGACTAACTGAACTGTCTGTACCTGCTGACCAGTCTCCATAAAACACCTGCTAATGTGACCGAACATTAGTTAGGCTTCTCTCCTTCCCCCAGACCCTGGAACTCTGGCCCACGCTCAGCCTGACCTGGCCTCAGAATGTGGAACAACCCCTTCTTAATGCCCCCTTCCTGAGACGGTGTTAAGAGAATCAGCTGATCACAAAGACCTTTTCTGTTCCACAGTCCCATCGCGCCACCTGCTCATCCCACTCCCCCATTCCTGGTTCTTTCTAGCCTTGTTCCCCCTCCCTATAAAAGTACATTTCTTTGAGAAGCTTACAGATCCGTGGCTGGAGTGTTCTCCCTCTTGCCGTAGTTCTCCTCCACCTGTTGCAGTAGTCCCCCCTTCCCTTACTGTAGGAATCCTTTTGAATAAAGTCTCTCCTTACCTACATCCAGATTTGTTATTTGACACACAGAATGTATGGAAACCCACTGTGTTCCAGTTTGATTCATTTTTTTCAGACAAGAACAAGTGAACTGACCACAGATGACTGGAGGGCGGGATGGTGATAACAAGTGGCCAGCCTCTTCATATAGAAGTTTCTAGCCTCTCCTTAGCCTCCCCACTGTGGTATAATAAAGAATTTGGCTGGGTCTTTGTTACCAGTTCCTCGGAGGGAGCCTCTAAACCCTTGGAATATCCCATGTGATAGAAGTGTCTTTGTTATTTAGAGAGGACCCCTCTGACCACACCTGAGTGTATGTTTGATGAGGTGACTCATGGCGGGCCCCCTGGATAGTTTCAGGATGAGGCTGGCCATGGCTGAAAGACCAAATGTGATAAAATGGTTGGGACTTGGAGCCACCTGATACCAGGGAGAGGAGGGGGTTGGAGACTGGGGTCAATCATATCAAATGGCCAATGATCCAATCAATCATGCTTATATAATGAAACCCCACTAAAAACTCTGCACGCTGAAGCATGGGTGAGCTTCCTGGTTGGTGACACAGTGATGTGCCGGGAGGGTGACGCATCCTAAGGACATGGAAGCTTTGCATTTGGGATGTTCCCATATCTCACCCTACCTGTCTCTCCTTTAGGCTGATCCTGATCTGTACCTTTTTTTTTTTTTTTTCCTTTTTGTCTTTTTTTGTGACCAGCAACGGATCGCAACCCTCAGTGTTGCGCCCGTACCGGACCAGGACCGGCAACGGGATCGCAACCCTCGGTGTCGCGCCCGCACCTCACTCAGCCAGTGAGCAGCCGGTCTGTATGTGGGATCTGAACCCTCGGCGGGAGCGCCGCTGCGCTCCCAAGCGGCGCACTGAAGCAGTGCTCCACCGGGCCGGCCTGATCTGTATCTTTTGTAATCCAACTTTAATTGCAACTATAGCACTTTCCTGAGTTCTGAGAGATGCTCTAGTGTATTACTGAACATGAGGGGGTAGTGGAAGCCACTGAATTTGTAGCCAGTTAGTCAGACACATGTGTGGCTTGGGGACCTTTTCGACTTGTGACTGGTGTCTGAAGGGAGGGCAGTTTTGTGTGGACAGTGCCCTTAATCTGCAAAATTTGACTTAACCCTTGTTAAGTACCCATCCACTTTGTTCCTGGTATTGGTTTTATAGTTCTCTACCTTCCTGTTTATTTGGAGAGAGAAATTTAAGTCCTGGAGCTGCAAGTTCAAAGGAAAGACAGTAACATTCTTAACAGAATATATTGCTATTCAAGCACTCATATTTCCATAATGCTCTCCATCTGGAGGTGGAACCAAAGGAGGGCCTGGAATGGGCCACACCCCAATTCTATCCTTAGTCTTTCATAACTGTATCACCAACCTACCCATCCTACTAAGCATTTCATATCACACACATATCTGCAAGTAGGGCTATGGGGATAGATGAGCACGTGGTCAGTAATAAGTGCCCACTGGCTTGCAGAACCACCACTCCTGCCAAAGTTTCCTATCATTTGTAAGCCAGAGTCAAAACAAACTCTTCCTAACTATGAAGAAACATGGGTTGGTAGCATTACCTGAGGGAATCTGGCCACCTGTCCTCTGCAATACTGCTCAGCAGCTTCTGGAATGATCTAAAGAGTTCCACTTTGCTGATTCGGGATCTGTTTGGAAAAAAAGGAAAAGATGATGAATTAAGTATTTACCATGTACCAGGCCCCCATCAAAGATACCAGGCTTCAGGGCTGGCCTGTGGCTCACTTGGGAGAGTGTGGTGCTGATAACACCAAGACCGCGGGTTCCGATCCCTATACAGGGATGGCCGGTTAGCTCACTTGGGAGAGTGTGGTGCTGACAACACCAAGTCAAGGGTTAAGATCCCCTTACTGGTCATCTTTAAAAAAACAAACAAACAAAAAGATAGATTGGGAATGCTGGGAACCTTTCCTCCTCTGGAGAAGTCTCTCCAGCTAAGTAAGCCTTTATTATTATTATTTTTTTAACGAAAGATGACTGGTAAGGGGATTTTAACCCTTGACTTGGTGTTGTCAGCATCACACTCTCCCAAGTGAGCGAACCGGCCATCCCTATATAGGGATCCGAACCAGTGGCCTTGGTGTTATCAGCACCACACTCTCCCAAGTGAGCCACGGGCTGGCCTTGAAGTAAGCCTTTCTCAAGTTCTATTTAGCAGCAGAAGAACAGTGACCATACTAGTAACTCTTCCTCTGTCAAAAAGACCTACCCAATAACAACCACTGAAATCTGAGGCGCACAATCTTCTAGGGGTGGCTGCTAGCTGCTACTCTCCAAGGAGCCCTGGTTCCTTTTAGCAGAGAGGATTACATTCTTAGATATTAGATTTTTCCTTGTAAGTTGGTTAACACTGCTGATTGATGCACCAAAGAGCTAGGAAAGCTATACTTACATATATCATTTTTAAAAGATTATGCATCTACATTGATATTTTCAATTTAGCCATATCTTTACTGAAAACTTAGATTTTTAAAAGAATCTCTCATCCTTTTCTAATTCAATGAGCCTTGTAATGATCTCTCTAGGATACTTGGCATGGGAAGATTTGTCTCTTCATGGCAAAGATAATTTGCTTACAAGAAACAGTAAAATTAAACTTCTTAAAAGTGAGGGCCCTTTATCTGGTTCCTGTTATTAATCCATTGTAAATTAAAAACCCACAGACTTAAATAAAATATTTCCTTCTAGTGTTGCACTAGTGTATTAAACACCTCTAACCACCCTGTCTGAGTTCCTATCCCCATAGCTCTATTCAAGGTGGTCCCCTGATGCCCACCCACAGGGATGAGCAGTGAGAAAACATGCCCACCCCCCAGCAGCTACTGGTCTTAGAACAGAAGTAACTGACTCTTTCACGTGTTATGAAACTTCATTTGATGACTATCTTAGTCTGTTTTCTGCTGCTATAACAGAATACGTGAGACTGGGTAATTTATAAAGAAAAGAGATTTATTTCTTCTAGTTCTGGAGGCTGGGAGGCCAAAGATCAGGCAATCACATCTGGTTGGTGTCCTCATGCTGTGTCATAACATGGTGGAAGCATCCATCACAGGGCAAGAGGGGCACCCTGAGAGCCCAACTGGCTTTTATAACAGACCTCTCAGGTGATAACTAACCCACTCCCATGATGACCCATTAATCCATCTGCCCTCTTGACCCAGTCACCTCTTAAAGGCCCCAACTTAAAGCGATTAAGTTTCAACATGAGTTTCAGAGGGGACAAAAATTCAAACCATAGCAATGACTGAAAGGGAAATCAATCTTAACAAAATGTCAACTTCAAGCCCTGCACCATGCCAGATGCACTCTATCTTTTTTAATTCTCACAACATCCCTATGTGACAGATAGTATCAGTTACCCTTGCTTTATAGTGGGGGAAACAGAGGCTCAGAGAGGTTGAATAATTTGCTCAAGTTCATACAACTTGGGGGAAAGGGAGTCAGGAATTAAACAATGGTCTCTTCAACCCCAAAGCTTCTGCTCTTTCACCATACACTTCCTCCCTGTATGGAGACTGCCTTCTAAATGCAGAGACATTCATGTGTCAGAGACCTCAGATTATCTACTCGAATATTCTCATTTTATAGATATGAACACACTAAGGCCCATGGAACAACAGGACTTTTCCCAAGTCACCCAAATAATTGGAGACAGAGCTACGGTTAGAACATGAGGTACTCCCAATCACACAGATAACAATGACATATTGGGATAAGCCAGAGAACAGCTCTATAGGAATTTGGAGAAAGAATGATAATTTTGAGCCAGAAGGCAGTGGTCATTGAGCTGGACTTCTAAGGTAAAAGAGGGTATGGACTCACAGCAAAAAATAGCATTTCAGTTCTGAGTGAAGCAGCAAATCAAAGCCACAGTCAGCTGGGTGGGGCCAGTATGAGGTGCTGTGAGGCTGTCACTGACTACAGAGCCAGAACTCAGCAGGAAACACGCAATCTCTGTCCCTCATGACCTGCTCTGCTCACACATCCTGGTCTGTGGCTGAGAGCTGGTCTCCTGAGACGTGTAAAAGGTGGCCAGAACTCAGGAAGGCCCTTGGGGTAAAACTGGTCCAAAAATCACTACCCCCAACAATTTTGTAAATATTACTCAATGCAACAGCCTAGGCTGGCCAGGAGACAGTCAGGGTCTGCTTGTCTAGATCGTTTGAAGCCTGGCAGTTAGTGGCTGTGAAGAAAACCTGAAAAAAAAANGGGCCACACCCCAATTCTATCCTTAGTCTTTCATAACTGTATCACCAACCTACCCATCCTACTAAGCATTTCATATCACACACATATCTGCAAGTAGGGCTATGGGGATAGATGAGCACGTGGTCAGTAATAAGTGCCCACTGGCTTGCAGAACCACCACTCCTGCCAAAGTTTCCTATCATTTGTAAGCCAGAGTCAAAACAAACTCTTCCTAACTATGAAGAAACATGGGTTGGTAGCATTACCTGAGGGAATCTGGCCACCTGTCCTCTGCAATACTGCTCAGCAGCTTCTGGAATGATCTAAAGAGTTCCACTTTGCTGATTCGGGATCTGTTTGGAAAAAAAGGAAAAGATGATGAATTAAGTATTTACCATGTACCAGGCCCCCATCAAAGATACCAGGCTTCAGGGCTGGCCTGTGGCTCACTTGGGAGAGTGTGGTGCTGATAACACCAAGACCGCGGGTTCCGATCCCTATACAGGGATGGCCGGTTAGCTCACTTGGGAGAGTGTGGTGCTGATAACACCAAGACCGCGGGTTCCGATCCCTATACAGGGATGGCCGGTTAGCTCACTTGGGAGAGTGTGGTGCTGATAACACCAAGACCGCGGGTTCCGATCCCTATACAGGGATGGCCGGTTAGCTCACTTGGGAGAGTGTGGTGCTGATAACACCAAGACCGCGGGTTCCGATCCCTATACAGGGATGGCCGGTTAGCTCACTTGGGAGAGTGTGGTGCTGATAACACCAAGACCGCGGGTTCCGATCCCTATACAGGGATGGCCGGTTAGCTCACTTGGGAGAGTGTGGTGCTGACAACACCAAGTCAAGGGTTAAGATCCCCTTACTGGTCATCTTTAAAAAAACAAACAAACAAAAAGATAGATTGGGAATGCTGGGAACCTTTCCTCCTCTGGAGAAGTCTCTCCAGCTAAGTAAGACTTTATTATTATTTTTTTTTTAACGAAAGATGACTGGTAAGGGGATTTTAACCCTTGACTTGGTGTTGTCAGCATCACACTCTCCCAAGTGAGCTAACCGGCCATCCCTATATAGGGATCCGAACCAGTGGCCTTGGTGTTATCAGCACCACACTCTCCCAAGTGAGCCACGGGCTGGCCTTGAAGTAAGCCTTTCTCAAGTTCTATTTAGCAGCAGAAGAACAGTGACCATACTAGTAACTCTTCCTCTGTCAAAAAGACCTACCCAATAACAACCACTGAAATCTGAGGCGCACAATCTTCTAGGGGTGGCTGCTAGCTGCTACTCTCCAAGGAGCCCTGGTTCCTTTTAGCAGAGAGGATTACATTCTTAGATATTAGATTTTTCCTTGTAAGTTGGTTAACACTGCTGATTGATGCACCAAAGAGCTAGGAAAGCTATACTTACATATATCATTTTTAAAAGATTATGCATCTACATTGATATTTTCAATTTAGCCATATCTTTACTGAAAACTTAGATTTTTAAAAGAATCTCTCATCCTTTTCTAATTCAATGAGCCTTGTAATGATCTCTCTAGGATACTTGGCATGGGAAGATTTGTCTCTTCATGGCAAAGATAATTTGCTTACAAGAAACAGTAAAATTAAACTTCTTAAAAGTGAGGGCCCTTTATCTGGTTCCTGTTATTAATCCATTGTAAATTAAAAACCCACAGACTTAAATAAAATATTTCCTTCTAGTGTTGCACTAGTGTATTAAACACCTCTAACCACCCTGTCTGAGTTCCTATCCCCATAGCTCTATTCAAGGTGGTCCCCTAATGCCCACCCACAGGGATGAGCAGTGAGAAAACATGCCCACCCCCCAGCAGCTACTGGTCTTAGAACAGAAGTAACTGACTCTTTCACGTGTTATGAAACTAATGCCCACCCACAGGGATGAGCAGTGAGAAAACATGCCTACCCCCCAGCAGCTACTGGTCTTAGAACAGAAGTAACTGACTCTTTCACGTGTTATGAAACTTCATTTGATGACTATCTTAGTCTGTTTTCTGCTGCTATAACAGAATACGTGAGACTGGGTAATTTATAAAGAAAAGAGATTTATTTCTTCTAGTTCTGGAGGCTGGGAGGCCAAAGATCAGGCAATCACATCTGGTTGGTGTCCTCATGCTGTGTCATAACATGGTGGAAGCATCCATCACAGGGCAAGAGGGGCACCCTGAGAGCCCAACTGGCTTTTATAACAGACCTCTCAGGTGATAACTAACCCACTCCCATGATGACCCATTAATCCATCTGCCCTCTTGACCCAGTCACCTCTTAAAGGCCCCAACTTAAAGCGATTAAGTTTCAACATGAGTTTCAGAGGGGACAAAAATTCAAACCATAGCAATGACTGAAAGGGAAATCAATCTTAACAAAATGTCAACTTCAAGCCCTGCACCATGCCAGATGCACTCTATCTTTTTTAATTCTCACAACATCCCTATGTGACAGATAGTATCAGTTACCCTTGCTTTATAGTGGGGGAAACAGAGGCTCAGAGAGGTTGAATAATTTGCTCAAGTTCATACAACTTGGGGGAAAGGGAGTCAGGAATTAAACAATGGTCTCTTCAACCCCAAAGCTTCTGCTCTTTCACCATACACTTCCTCCCTGTATGGAGACTGCCTTCTAAATGCAGAGACATTCATGTGTCAGAGACCTCAGATTATCTACTCGAATATTCTCATTTTATAGATATGAACACACTAAGGCCCATGGAACAACAGGACTTTTCCCAAGTCACCCAAATAATTGGAGACAGAGCTACGGTTAGAACATGAGGTACTCCCAATCACACAGATAACAATGACATATTGGGATAAGCCAGAGAACAGCTCTATAGGAATTTGGAGAAAGAATGATAATTTTGAGCCAGAAGGCAGTGGTCATTGAGCTGGACTTCTAAGGTAAAAGAGGGTATGGACTCACAGCAAAAAATAGCATTTCAGTTCTGAGTGAAGCAGCAAATCAAAGCCACAGTCAGCTGGGTGGGGCCAGTATGAGGTGCTGTGAGGCTGTCACTGACTACAGAGCCAGAACTCAGCAGGAAACACGCAATCTCTGTCCCTCATGACCTGCTCTGCTCACACATCCTGGTCTGTGGCTGAGAGCTGGTCTCCTGAGACGTGTAAAAGGTGGCCAGAACTCAGGAAGGCCCTTGGGGTAAAACTGGTCCAAAAATCACTACCCCCAACAATTTTGTAAATATTACTCAATGCAACAGCCTAGGCTGGCCAGGAGACAGTCAGGGTCTGCTTGTCTAGATCGTTTGAAGCCTGGCAGTTAGTGGCTGTGAAGAAAACCTGAAAAAAAAAGTCTAAAAAGATGTATGAGGGCCGGCCCGTGGCTCACTCGGGAGAGTGCGGTGCTGATAACACCAAGGCCCCGGGTTCGAATCCCATATAGGGATGGCTGGTTCGCTCACTGGCTGAGCGTGGTGCTGACAACACCAAGTCAAGGGTTAAGATCCCCTTACCGGTCATCTTTAAAAAAAAAAAAAAAAAAAAAAAAAAAAAAAAAGA